TCACCTTGTATTCTGTTTCTCCGCGCATAACCAACATCGATCGTTCCGATATGTACTTAAGCTCACCGCCCAATGGAGCCACTATCGCGAGAATTTTACGGTCGTGTAGTACATTCTCGTAGACGGCTACTACCGAAATTTCAACCGAATCGGACTCTTAGGGCCGGTTGCACCAACGTCGCTTACCTTAACCCAAAGCGGCTCTTCCCTAAGTCGGCTTAGCGTGCTAAGCCGAGTTCGGATAACCACGGATTTAAATTCCGGTTGCACCAACGTTAACCCGGCTTTGCAGACGCTCCCCTAGCTAAACGCTGGATTTGCCTAGGGAATGTAGGGACAAACAGAGCGAACTAGGGCATGCTCAGAGGGACGAATACGATTGGCGGTGAGAAATCTCGTGATGTAAACAAAAAACCTGCTATAGTCGGCGGCTGCTTTTCGCTGTATTTCTTCAGTGAGTAAGGAATTAAAGGTCTCCAAATTCAATCATTTTTTTCGCTTAATTTTCAAAAACAGGAGTCAACGCTTTAAATAAACAGGAATGCTTTCACATCTGTGATTGTGTGTTTAATATCGGCCAATAACAGAATATTTTGACAGTGACAGTAGTTTTCGTGCTTACATTTTGAAATAAAGGAGCCATCGGGGGCCTCAAATCTCACCGAACGCGAGAAGGACGCTCTACTCGCTACATCGCTGAAGACAAAACATCATCGAGAATAAGTAGGAAGGTAAGATGACTACTAAAATCAAGTAATGCCTGAGGCTGATGAAGTTCAAAACAGTGACGAACTCGCCACGGCAGCTGCGAAAATGCCCTGAAATCGTCGAATAGAAGTCGTCGAGTTGTCGTCGCCACGAATAGAAGTTGTCGTCGCCACGAATGAAAGCTATAAAGCAAAATATTCCTAAAAAACACGATCACCAGAAACGTTACGGTTATGGAACGATACAGTTTTCTGAAGCCAAGATTCTACTCGCGAGACAAGAAAAATTCACCGAAGATTGTCTCGAAACTCAGAAAACGAAAGAAATTGACTTTTCGCTGTTTTATAATTTAAGAGCGCCGCAATCTGATGCAAACGGCAGAAGTGTCGACAGTCAGCTGATTGCCGAGATCATGTACTGCCACTATTCAACGCGCTGATTAAATTGAAGGATATGCGTTGCAAGTAGAAATAAACAAGGTGGTAAATAACAATACGTTACAGTTTTGCGAAAATAGTAGAGTAAGTACATACGAATAAGCTCGTTGACAGAATAACCAACGGGAAGACGTGAGCCCCACAGCTCCGTACCACTCCGTAGGTATCTCGGTTAGGGCTAACACGCACTGAAAGCGGAGAGCCAACTTGAAAACAGGGATCGATAAACACTTCACGCGACAATATTCTGCATTATCGGGGTCATTCTGTCGAATCTCTCACGCTGTTGTAGCCTAAAACAGTTTGTACAACCAAGTTCGTCCTCCGCGTCGACCGCCACAAACCAGCCGCCATGTTTTAAATCCAGGATTAAGAAACAACCAAAAGCAAAGCGCCCGATGGTGGGCGCTTACGATAAGCGTAGTTTAGTGCTAGGTTTAGCGATAAGCGATTTTGGTGCAACCGAACGAAACCAAAACTTAACTTAGGTTCCCGGCTAAGCTCCGCTTTGCGCTAAGCGGCGTTGGTGGAACCTAGAGTAACTGTATATGCTCCGCTTGCGGAGCAGAGTACCGCAATGGCAGACTTGTACACGTTACTGAAAAATAGTAAGGAATTACAATTACAATTACTCAAGGCTAAATTGTAATTTATTACAATTACAATTACTTTGCCATGAAAGTAACTGACCGTTACTTGAAAAAGTAATCCGTTACTTTCGTGGCGTTACTTTTAACATTATTGTTATCAAGTAAGAAACAAAGGGGAGAGGGTTATTCAAGTTCTTATTCTTGCCGCCTGTTCCTTTTAATGACCGTGAATATTTTGAGCAACAGCTGGCTCTTATATGTCTCGTCAGACATTTTGCGTTATTTCTTACTCAATATGTCGACTGCTACGCTGAACACCATTTGAACTGAGGGACTGGATGGGAGTGTCATATTGTTCCTTACGAATGCTTCATGCTCTGCATTGAGCTTTTTCAGCGAAGCAAGGGAAGTACTATTTTCCTCGCGAATGTAGAGCAAAGCTTCGTCGTTGCAGCCGTTGCCTTCTATTTGAGAGATTTAGTAGATCCTTCCGATACCTCCCATACCCGCGATAACGGTACCCGATAACGATATGATGCATACGCAAAGACGGCGGCGAAGGATCGGATATCGTTATCGGAGTCATCGGACCGATCTACTAAAATTCTCCATTCTCTAAATCGCAAAGCTGTAGAAGTCATCAATAGCAAAACATAGTTGTAACAGTAAGGTGATAATTAAATAATAAATAAGGTTTGGCTCGATATTCTTCTTCCTTTGGTTCTGAACAGTTCGAGCCTCACTTGAGACGTTGGTGAATAAAAAAAAGTTTCCAGTATATAAATATGAGTTATAAAAGAAAAAGAAGGACACTCATAACAACAATTAACTAGAACGTCGGTTAAAACAAGGAAATGTAAACGCACGTTTGCCGTGTGTACTTTTCTTGGTGCCGTCCAAAAACGCACGGAGCACGGACCGACTGCAGTTTACTCCGGTGTTCTCCAGATAGACGTCCGCTGATGCCACGGGCAGCAAAGGGTAGAGTACTGAGTAAGCCGCGCTATGGCCCCACTCACGAATTTCACCCTCTCCTCAAGCCCAGAATATCAAGTCTACGTCAGCCACCATTATGTTCTATTTGTAAAAATATCTGCTTGAGATAAGATGCGTCCTGCTAGGGCAAAACAGGAAGAAGAAGAAAGGAACACTGTTAGCACATTCTAAATGCTCGCAAAAAGCTGACTCACAAAAAGGGTAGGGTAGACGGAGCGTTGTCTCCTGTTGTGACATTATGAAAATGGTCGTAGTCACTATATCCGAGAAGGACATTGTTAATTCTTTTCAGTGCACTTACTGCCTCGAGCTTCTCGAAGAGGAGCACAATCACTTGGTGTCCTCCTCTCCCCGTCTTCGATCGCAAAGAAAAGACAAAGGGACTAAAAAAAAAGCGGAAATAACTTGCCCCCCCCCCCCCCCCTTTTTTGTTTTCGTGAATTGTTTATTTGGATTTTTTTTTACATTGATGTTAGGGTCTAAAAAAAGGATAGATTCAGGGGCTTGGTGTTGCAAAAAAAGGCGTTGAAGAACTGAAGAGTGCCAAGCCTCCCTTTACGCTAGTCGATTCGCGTGACAGTGTCACTGCGTTCGACTTTACAAAAAAAAATCTTAATTTGGAATGGGGGCGGGGGGGGGGTGGTTGGTTCTGACAAAAAAATGTAACGGATTACAAGGAATCCGTTACGTCAAAAGTGTAAGGGAATTACTTTGAAATTACTCTAGAAAATATGTAATTATTCCGTTACAAAATTACTGATAAATGTAAGGGATTACAAGTAATTGCGTTACTTGTAACGGATTACGTACAAGTCTGCGCAATGGTGCCATTCTGGAGCCAAGCACTGCGGGAAGCCACGGTTGGTTTTTGCAGGGGACACGAAAGCGCAGACGCGAGGCGGCGTGCTCTGGCGTGCTGCGGCGCGCTGCTTAAGGAAAATAGTGCGGCGTGCGGCGACGAGCCGCGCATGCGCCGTCATCGTTCTCCCGTCGTTTCCGTTTCCCTCTGCGGGTCGCGTGTGAAGCGAAGTCGTCGAGTCGCTGTTGCCGGGAGGCGCCCGGCTGTCTGCCCAAGTTTTGGAGGACCTTTCCCCTCGAGCGATCGGAAGACGCAGGAAAACGCAGGCCTGCTTATTTTCCCCTTGTGTTTATTCGAAGGGCGGGTGCCGCTGCTCAACAAATAGCTTCTTTATTATTATTATAATTTTATTTTTTTTTAGCACAGTTTATTTGGTTTTATTTTAGACTGGGCAGTGCTTTACCTTCATGCGTCCCAATCATATCCGAATCTAAGGAATGTCGAGTAACGGCACTTTCATGCTAAAATAGTGCACGTTTTTTTTTGTTTTTTTATCCCAAGTTTTTGCCATTTTGCGAATCTGAGACGTCCGAATTAAGAGCTCTTGGAGACCGGAATTTTTGCATGTTTTCAAGTTGAGCTAAATTTTGAATTCGCTTGAATTGCGAACAATTGTTAAATGGCGCTCCAAAGTTTGGGAGATGCCACAAGGTGCAAACTGCCTTATATAGAAAAAGTCCACTGACGTTCCATTTTCAATGCGGATGAGTCTTTGAAAGTGCAATTCAATTCGTTGCAGGTACCAGAATGATGCAGATTGACTGCCTATTGACCAGTATATTACACACTGAAAACCGGGCGTAGACCTCTGTCTACTTTCAGTGTGTGACAACCTACATCTCGCTTTCTCTTCTATTTTGAACATTTTGCTGTACCTATTAAACTATTTTACTACCACCGACATGGTCCCTTAAAGGAATTGTGAACAAGCACAGCAGCACCAGTCTCTTGAACATGTTTATTTGCACAACTGCCCACAGCAATCATTTGGGGTATTGTAAAAGGGCACACAATGATTAAAAAAAATATCCATAACACCAAAACTAGCCATTTCAAAACGATGACAACACAGCACTTTGGAAATGTGAAGACAAGATGGGCACAAAAAGCAACTATTTGGCAACGCAGTTTTGAAGAACACAAAATACCCTTGGCATTACCAGATCGATGGAAATGTAGAGCTGCAGAAACTGGACATTGTCAGAAAGCCGGTTTTTAAATGTAGTCAGTGGACTATTATAATCCATAACGAAATGAGGCTTCTCTGGCTTAACACAACAAAAAAAATAACAACAACACAGACGTTTCGCCACCTATCCTGGTGGCGTCATCAGTGCATACTGATGATGCCACCCGGATAGGTGGCGAAATATGTGTGTTGTTGTTATTTTTGTGTTGTGTTAAGCCAAAGTACCGTAAAATATTGGGCAAGCGCCCACTCAAACTTTGGACATAATCGCTAAAAAATGGGGGATGGGCGCTTTTCCGGTCATCAATTTTAGACATAAATGTACTGTGCATATTTTTTCAGATCTTAGAGATTTGGGAATGAGTGCTTAATCTGGAATGGGCGGTTGCACGGTATTCTAAAGTAAACTTGTTTCATTATGACTACTATGGCTTTTCAAACATATTTGTACTATATTCCAGAAAACATACTACACTCCTTGGCCTAGTCCAGAAAATGCGGTATCTAGACTACTTGCTTGGTCAAGACACGCATGCCAGCACTTCGTGAACCACATTTCCCCGACTGCTTAACCTTTGCCAGCAGCTTTGCATTCTCTTGCTTGAGAGCAAACCGCAGACGACACATAAAAAACTGCGCTACCAGCCGCTCAGCCACATTATGGCAAATAGGAAATGCAGAGAATGACGGTGCTTTCCCTGCAATTAATAGTCCCAGGTCACTGATTTGGCACATACTTTTCAGTAGCCTCTCTTCGTGTGATCGGAAGCAGTGTTCGGCGCTTTGCAGCAACTGCACTACGCTTTCTGACGGAATGAACAAGGGTGTCTTGTCTGCCTTCACATAAGATTTGAGAGCGATGAGTGGAGGGGCTTGGCTCCGACGGTCCACCAAAGAATCTCTACATGTGCGGCACAACTTGTATTTTCGGGTTACGCTCCTGGAAACATAACCTGAGAGGTAAATCAGGCTTTCCTTTTCCTCCGTACAGAGCTCGAACTCCTCCTCCTCGTCGTAATGAATCAGGATCTCTCCATGATCCTCAGCAAGGTCCGTGCGTTTGCACAGAAAGTCTGTAAGGTGGACGGAGTCGTCCACGGCATACGACCCTCGACGACTGGGTTGGGAAAACTGTGCTAGCACAATTATCCGGAACGCCGACCTGAACTCTCGTGCACGAGGAATTGGGGTCTTTCGATGGATCGTACTAAACAGGTTTTCAAGTGCATCTTGGCTGAATCTACTCAAGAAGACATACTTGAAGCCTTTCTCATTAAGGAAGTGGTTGGTTGCGCAGGTGCAAAGCTGCCTCTGTGGATATGAGCACTCCAGTTTGAACTGGCTTCCTTGCGACCTTGGAGAGGTTGTCTAAAATTACTAGCAAGGAAAACATTTCCTTGAAGTTTTCCATAAAAACCTTTGCCTCGTGGGCTTTCTCTGGACAGAAGTCGCTCAGTGCAGTTTTCATTGCTGGAGATGTCATCAGAGTGAACCATCTAAACACTTGCTTAAAAAACCATGCTGTGGTGAGCGCCTCTTTGAGGAGCTTCTGCAGGCTGACTAGATACCTTATGGCTGCCCCGACGCTATGGTTTAACAGCGCAACTGCCGAAGCCACATCCATTTTTTCAAAATGATTTGGGTTTAGGTCCTTCAGCTTCAGGCCCGGCAGCAACTTCAGCTTGTGCTGCTCGTCAAGCTCGCACATCTTCTTGACATGCTCCAATGATACCTGGAAATGAAAATAGGCCGCAACATGAAACGTCGAGTGAGACTAATGGGAAATTCAACCAGTCGTTATTGGCGACGAGATGTTTTGGTGGCACCACCTCGCGGGGAACCTCTTATATGATGGAGCTAGGAGGATGTGAGGACACGACGCGCTATGTCAAAGCACGGAATGGCTATGTTAGTTTGCATATATGCCGATTAAAAACGGTTTATTTAATAAAGAGACATGTATTACATTTTTGTGAGTAATCTTTCTAATGAATAATAACGCCTCAAAGTTGCTTTTTATATTAAAGAAGGACAAAAAACTTTAAAATGTTCAAAGAAGCCTGTAGATGCACAGTGCAGCTTGCGCGGCACAACTCAGCGCTATTCTAAGCCTCTCTAATTCTTGAAGTTGTGGAGGCTAATGTGGAAAAAAGGTTTTGCATTCACCACAGTAAATGACGTGCTGTCTTATCAGCTGTGAACGCACGCACAGTTGTGTTGCAAAGCGCCACACACATGCTTGAGCTACACTGAGCTTGCCGATATGGACGCTTCTAACTAAGTGTGACTCAACAGTGGCCGACAAGCAAATGCTCGTCAGGAACTGACGCTTAGCTGCCCCCGCATTGAATATGTGGCAAGGAAGTTCGTCACATCGCGACTTCCGTTCGAAAGAAAAGAAGAAATTTTTATAAATTCTGATATTGTCAGACATGGCCTGGCAAATCAAGGCAATTGATTAATTCATCCTATCCAATATTTACTCAGAATTGTTTACAAATTTAAAATCGCTCACTGAGAAGCCCATCACGCTTTTGGGTGATGGGCTTCTCTTCTCAGCGAATGGTAGTAATTCATAGCAGGTGTATACCTTATTTTTTGGGACGCTGAAGTGTCACCAACTTATTAGATTTAAGACTTCGATCGCAGGGGAGTCTAGCATGTTTCACGTCGACCGGGTGAATAAGCAGGGATTTAATTGAAACGACTCTGGAAGCCAGCCACCACTTCTTCCTGGTAGTTATTTTGAGGAAATGTTTGTTTATTGGTCTACAAATAAAAAAAAAGGGATCAACTTGGAACTAATAAGAGGCCTGCACTCACAGCTAGAACACATCGGAACCAACAGGATACACAGAGTCCCTTTTAGTGAAGTGTTTACTACACATGCGAGAGGTTCTCGAATTTTGCTTTCCTATTTTCATTTTGATGAGACATTTCTTTCCCAGCTTTATTTTGTCCGAATCATAAAAAAAATACCTCCTATTCGCCGTGGTATACGTTGTAGTGGGTAAAGCGCTGAATATATTGAGAACAGCACACCACCAACCTAGCGCTTTGACACGTCAGTGCCAAAGCTGTTCGTTAGCATGACAGAGCGTGCCACGGTTTCAAGCTTTGGTAAAATGTCCTCCTACATATATCACGTCAACAAATAAACATGACGCATGAAACAGGCTTTGCCGCGCGTTACCCAAACAGCGCATGAGGCAAGCTGACGAGCCGAGGGATTCAAGATCTGCACGGTCTGTCTGAGTCTGTCTTACTCATGACGTCACAAACGATGACGATGATAGCTAGAGAAGTACCCCCTATTGGGCTGGAGATCGAACTATAGGGGGCGCTCTGACCCGTTTGTTTTCCCCACGCTTGGTGTTTACTCAACACAAGGCCTGTGCACATGCCGACAGGCCTTATGGGCATGGCCATGTCATCTTCTACAATAGAGCGCGGGGCGCAGTTTAATGTAAAAAATACTAACAATCGACGAAGCGACGTTAAGTGCCGGATCTATCCTCAGAGAATGCGAGCTTGAACCCCCTTTGGCTTTTGTGCTGAGCTGGAATCGTGCATGCTGCATTGTTCATGCAGGCCGTAGTGGAAACAAAACAGCCCCTCCTCCCCCTCGCCGGAGAACACGAACTCCAGCCGAACGCTGACGCCGCGTTCGGTTATGCCGGCCGAACGCTGCGTCATTGTATTTGTTGTCCCCATCCGTGTAGTTGTTAGGTTAACCGCTTGGGGCGTCACGGTCTGTCCTCCTCCCCAATAGTCCGTACACGCCGCCAACAGTACGCGTCGGGATTGTCTTTTTCGGACCGCATGTCTACCACTGGGCGATTGGGATAAATTCAGATGTCTTCCACTGGTCGTTCTGACTCCAGATTTGAATTTTTAGCAAGCAAAACTCACTCGACAGAAATCGGAGGATTCAAGCTGGTTGGGGGGTGGTTCGGAGGAATTCCGCTGGTCGTTTTGGGGAGACTTCCTATTTTGCATTGTATACCAGTCATGATTTTTCCCTGTACTGAGGATATGGCTGCCAGTGATGGGACGTTGGCCTAGTCGGTGAATTTTCGTCTCGTGTGTAGAGTTGCTATTCATGGCTACAGCACTCCAGCTGTGTGTCGCAATGAGCAATCTGCACATCCTAGAAGAGAACACCTATCTACCCGTTCCGCAACGCCGTAACGTCGTCCTCTAGATAGCAAAAAATGCACATGGGTTTGTGTTTGTTGACATTGTCGACGGTGGTATTTTCTCGTGTTCGCGGTCTCGCCGCATCGGAGATCGCGCCTTTCTACATGTATTTATCTTTCTCTGTATGTGTGCTCAAGTTCAAGCTGTGACTGGTATGTACTGTCTTGAAGCTGCACACAAAGCATACCAATGTTCGAACAATTTCGTTGCCCGAGTGAGGCGTGCTTGTTAGGGCTGGTATGCTGAAACGCTGACTTCGTCTATGTGGGCTGATAATCGGATCTCGTGTTGATTTGTCGCGGCTAAGATGGGCTCTGCTTCTATGATCAAGAGAGAAAATAATCCCAGTGGAGAGATTTATGCTCCCGGTCAGTTTGTGAAGTGTTCTTGGACGGCGTATCGCTTTACTCGCATTTAGCCCTGTGAGCCCCACCTTTTGGAAAATAAAAGTAAATAAAGCTTGGGTCCATACAAAATGGAAGCTATTGCATGTTGATTTGTTGTTGTTGTTCCACAAAAGGACAACGCGCCTTTGGAAGGCATAATAATAAATGTGATTGCAGCCAAGATCGGCCATCTGCTACGGCCGTGCTTCCCGGTCTCTCATCCGGGAGTGCGAGGGTAGGCCGCTCCCGGAAAAGAGGTCGTCTTCAGCTAGTGAATTCAGAGGTGGAGCTCCTCGCAAGATTCGCGTGCTCCGCCGCCGAGTTTGGTCGTCGCCCCAAAAACGACCAGTGGAATTCCCCATAAGTTATTGTTAAACTTATTTTTCCTATTGAAAATAGAGATTTTGAGTAGACTAGGTACCCAAAGAGAAGGTTTTACCAACCACACTAACCTTGGCTGTTGGTAGGTTGTGGTTTCGAACAGTGGCATTGTCCAGGAAAATTTCCTGCCCACGAACCAGGTGACCCCGCAGGTTTTTCAACAGGTGAGGAACGTCGGCCAGGAAGTACAGGCGTCGTCCCTTGTCGCATGGATGAGGGCATGAGACGTTTGATCTTCCATGCTTCGTAGCCATTATGCCACACAACTTCCATATGGCTTGATTTCCCGGCCCCATGTCGGTGACGATGGCATCCACTTCGATTCCAATCTTTTCACTTCGTCTGATGATGTCAAACAAGACGTCGCGCACAGTAGTGGCATAAAATGATGTGGCTGAAACATGAAAAAAGTATTTTTATTATTCACTAAATATCTTACAAAAAAAAGGCCATATGTACCAACAATTGGTGAAAATACAAAAAAAAAAGCATAGTGTTCTTCATGTGGCATCAGTTTATGGTTGTACATCATCATTTTTGAAAATATCAAGGTTTGTGTCGCAGGTCAGCCCATTTGCCTCTCAATGTTGATTTAAGAAATGAAAACTGCCTAAGCTATGAAGTGGACAGCAAATGCTTGCGACTGGCGAATAAAAAATATGCATCCCTCATCGCCGGACGGCTGAGAACAAAATGCTGCAACGTAATGTAGGGTGATGTACAATCGTGAATGAAAGGGAAGAGGCGATCATCGACCACTCCACACTTGCAGCCTCATGCACTGGCAGCCATGGTGGCATACTGTCCTTTTAGAATGCTTTGCGAACTAAGCCAACACCACCGAGATAACAAGGATATAGTTAGAAATTTCCTGTCATCAAAGTGGTCAAACATGGGGCACTAATTCGGTATAAGTGCTGCATCAGCATCCCGCTGGGGCTCATGTTCAATCATCGAGAACAGGAGTCCTAGCCGAAGACTGACGCAGCACTCATATCAAATCTGTGCCACATGTCTGACGACCATAGGTGACATCGAAAATTCAGCAGGCCTTGCTATCTCGCTGGTGTTGACTAAGCACAGCAAGGCATGCGATACGAAAAGTAAGCTGCTGCTACCACCACTGCATGATGCTGCTGTACGGCGTAGTCGACAATCGCCTGTTACCCTTCATATCAATTGCTACTGTGTAGCCTTGATATTTTTGATGAAAAGCGTAAATTTCAACAGTGTGTTGAGGCTATTGTTTTTTCCTAACGTTTCGCTTTTATCCTGTTTAACATTGCATTTCTGAAGGAATAAGTGCACCACTAAGGAGGCGTTAAGCTGTTGGTGGGTCACTGAAAATAAGAATAAATAAATAAGTAACTCTCTACAAACTTAACAACCAGTTTTGTATTCTGTATAATAGGAAATAGAAGCATCCTAATGTACATGATGTTGTTATTACACTCATTCGGTATGCAAAGAATATAGCCTGTCAAGGACAAAAGCAGACGAAACGAACAGCAGGCAATGTTTGATGTATGTTAACATACAGCAAACAGGCAGGCACCATCTTCAAAGTGCGTGCGTATGGCGTGTGCCCTGTTTGCTTTCCGAAACCACGAATGTCCGCATGCTCGGCTGTGGAGGCCGCACGCTGCGCGAGAAAGATTAAAGAATGCCCCGCATTCTTTCGAGCTTATTAGAAGCTCAAGCACCCAGCTGGATGCTCGAGCTTTGCCACTGAAAGCACTGCCATTGATGTCACGCCCAGAATATGGTTTTGATTTTTTTCCACGTTTGGTATCATTTTAGGTGCAGATGATTTTCACATTCACATTCATGAAATAAAAATATGCTAAACTTTACGTCTAATTTTTTTTTCACTGAAATATTGAGCATTAATGGCCACTTTGAAATTAGCATTGCCCAAAGGTCCCATGCTGCACGCATGTGAGACTGTCCTTGCAGTCAATGTTGCTCTTGTATCAAAACTACTTGAGCATCATTATGATTCACCTGAGCTAACCTGCTATAAGCTTCCTTTCTAAGACGACATACATATAAGGGCTTTTTTGGACATTACATAGGGGAAAAGTGATTTGGCGGAAAGAGGTTATACGGTATGGTCAAGTGCTGAAAAGAAATGTGCTCATATAGTTGGCCTGAACAAATCTAAACAAGCAACAAGCAGTTGTAAATTCACCAATGCTGGAGCTATGGTGGAAGTCTCAGATAATCTGTCAAAATCGGCAGGGAGTTTGTGACACTGTGGCTTTAAGCACTGAGAGAAAGAGAGTATGATGTTCCCACTCTCGGTTATGCTTCTGAAATGCAGTACTTTTAAGAGGTCATAGAGAAAACAACCTTTGAGCTTTTACTATAGCTTCAGGATGACGAGCAGAATCCATACATGGGGAACTTATAAGAGAAGTGGTATGCAACCGCTTGCTTCCAGCGGGTAGTTAACCCACCCAGCATGAACACTAGTGCATGGGTAGACAAAGGCTCCTCTGCCGCTGGATTTGATGTCCAACCTTTGGGCGGCCTGAAAAAAAAAATAACATGACATCACTAATCAAGGCACATTTAAAGGGATTGTCCAACGATAAACCAAAAGAAGAGCTGAGAAGTAACTAATTACAAGTACCAACCTTACTGTAATTAGTTGCATTTTCTGTAACTAAATACTTTTTAAGTTACAATAAGATTTGAGTCACTGTAACTTAGTTAAGTTTTGGCATAACTTGTAAACTGTTTCAGTAACTCTCCAAAATTCTCAACACTCCGAGGCCTCGAAGGAGCTGCTCCCCGAAAACTTTTACGTAGCCAGGCAACAATCAGAACAAATTCTATAGCTATGAAGTCAAAGCCGTGGGCGCTGAAGCACTCGCACACATGGAGTGCCGATCAAGAATACGCATATGTGCACTTCATTTCTAAATTGCCACAATAAGTTGACTACAGGTTTAGATCGATGGGTGCATACAGGTGTGGCTCATTTTTGGCTTGCCGTGACGTTGCAAAAAGTGAACTGCTGGAAGTCCAAACACTTTTCGGGCTTGAATTGACCAAATTTCGATTATGCGGCACCACTACTGGCAGGATTTGTAAAATTGAGCCTAAAAAGACAAGGTTTGACTGGCAAGGTGAGCAAGTCATCATACTTGCTTATGCACAAAATTTGACATACATGGAAGCTGAAAAAAGGCACTCCAGCCTTCTTCCCTTTTCGCGTGGCAACACCTACAATGTCGTACATTTGTGGGAAGTCACAATAAGGAAACCGCAAGCACTGCACTCGGTCGTGACGTGATACCATGAAACTAACGCCCCAATTAAAACCGAAACTTAGTGGTTAAGTGGTAGTCAGAAAGCATTGCGGGGTGGCTCGCCGTCAACAACACTTCAAGTTTTCGAAAGGTTTACAAAACTGTAATCTCTCGCAAGCCTTGATCGCATATTGTAGCTCTTTTCTCGAAAGTGCTCACTGCACAGGCAGGGTCCCTTCATGCAAACCCAGGACTCCCAAAGCACCTCGACAACCCACTGTAGTTCCCGCAGAAAAGTGTAGAAGTTGGCCACCACCTGACCAAAGTCACCTCTCATTCATAAAAGAGGTCTAGCAGGTGAAGCACAGCAACGAAGACCACTCCCACGGGAAAGTAAAAGCCAAAGGATGCTTTCTTTGCGTTATATGACACCAGAGCCCTAGCTATTGCCAATTTTGGCAACAAAAGAGGCTGCTCATTTGTGAAGTTGTTCCAGCTTGGTTTAAAATTTGATTACTATTTCAAAGACGCATAAAATAATAAGATGTATAGCGGAAGACATGCTTGAACCAAGGGCAGTTAGATTTAACTGTTATATTTATTAATAAAAGGCTACCCAGATAATAACTTCAATTAAGCAAGTTGTGAAAGTATGTATCCTTCAGCCCCGAAGCCTAGGTCGCTGTGCTCTAACTTTAAGTGGCAATAAAAATTGGATAAGCAAGTATTTTGTTTATGCCTTTTATAATTTCATTTTTTGTGCCATCAGCGTTTCGGTACCTCACAACGTCTAATGTCATGGCAAGACACAATGTCGTACCTCGTGAGCTGTTAATTTGCATTAAGACATAATTTGGTTTATCTTTGTCACACATTTACACATCTTTTTGCGTTTCACTATGGTCCTCCTCAGAGCACATCTACGTACGACAGCTTACCTATTATGGATGCGATGGAAGCATCGTAGTCGAGGCCGGGTGCAATCTGCATCTCGTCCATGAGTAGACAAGCTTGCCGTTCTTCGGGGCGCACGGACTCCACTTTTTGCTTGAGGGCGGCGAAGACTTCATCAAGTACACCTGCAAATAGACCCACATACAATTTGGTATAAACTTTTTTTTTTTAAGCTTACCTGGAAATAATTTGATGTGTTCCATTTGTTGCTGTAGTGTTCTAGGAGCAGGCAAAGGGACCAAGTTTTCTTTGATGTGCTCATAGCCTTTGCTTCCACAAACCACTTTCGCAGCTAAAGCCTTCTGAAGAGTTGCGTCGGACCAGGAGCTTCCCCTCATTGTTCCTTTCTCCAACGCTCTAATCTGATCAGGAGCGAAGATACGACTTATAGACTCCCGGAGCTTGTATCTTTCTTTTTCCATTTTTCGGCGTTTCTTCTGTTCAAGGTTCAACATCAGCTCGAGCTTCTTCTCTCGATTCGAGCCACCCTCATGTGTCCCAGAAGTTCCTGCTTGACGTCCATCAGAACATTCTGAAGCATTTTCTGTTTGGCGTGCATCACAAGATTCTACAACACTATCTGCAACAGGGAAAGAATAAATTGAGAACACATAAGTGAATAGAAAAGTAAGCCAACAAAAAGGTGAACGGTATGTATACCTGAAACAATTAATTAGCACGTGGACATTTGTGCCGTTGTATACTGAAAATCTGTTAAAGGGACACTGACAGGTTATTTATGCTCGCCAAGGAATTTATTTGTAAATGACATACGAGAGCCCAACTACCCAGAAAACAATTCGCAGCTCGAAATGTTTTCTTTCTGCCCGAAAATCGACAACTGAGAACCAATTGGTTTGAGACGCGCTCAATCTCTTCTCCGTGGTCACATGCAGTTTTCTATGGTTTAGACACAACCATTAAGTATAATCAAAGTTGTGGGTCACTGAAGGCACTCCTTCAATAATAAAACTAGAAAAGAAATATTATATTTATTTTTAGCTTCTAAAAGGCTGCAAATATGTTCACTGAAAAAAAGAAAGTTGCATGCAGTCATGAGACTTCCGATAACTCTCTCCTCCTCTATATTTCTTCTTCCTCCCCAGTCCAGTTTTGGTTCGATTTGAGGAGTTGCGTATTTTTACCTTATTAAAATATATGTGACGCTGTAGGAAAATATTAATTGGGCAGTCTTCCGACACCATGATAAATTGCCTGGCAAAAAAAAAGGGGGGGTGTCAGTGTTTTTTTAAATAGTAAATGAATCCATCAAAGGCCTAAACATCAGGCAAAAATAAAAGTTTGGTAATGGCATCGAAAATGAGAGATCAGCACAATCATTTTTTTAAACAGATGATTGGCCTAGGTGGTGGCGACGAAAATGGGAAGGAGTTGACCACTTCCATGAGATTATGTCCCTGTTAGTCATGTTTCTCAGCTTACGTGTACTGCGGGTGACATACAACAATGCACAATAAGTAGAGACACTTCCTTAATACCTGCTTTGTCAGTCTTTATGTAAAAAAATAAAGATTTTAGAAATCCATAATTATTGAACAATCACGTGACTTCTAGCAGTGAGGTTAATTAATTGCTTTAACGGTGGCTTCTGAACAAATATGATCATTCATATATTCACATAATATTCACACTGCATGACAATGTTATCACAAATGAGCTGTTGTCGGTTATTCCTTTTTTGATGATAGAACTGCGTTGCCATAATAAAAAATTCTAGAGAGGCAGAGAGCAGTTCTTCGTCGCTGCCAGAGAGCCGATGTCGTGTTCAGGTTTGTTGCGTCAAGAAGTGCACTATACTTTCAACTTGCCTGGTTGGGGCTCTACGGACCCCGACACGCTGGCTGAATGAACATCGACTTGAGAAGCAATGCCTGCAGCTGTAAAGGGAAAAAAAAATATTCTGTCGTGAATACTCATGCAGAACCTTAAAGGGAAACTCCACTTCATTTTTGGTTTCGAAAAAACAATGCAGTCCTCTTCAGTATCGCATAGGAAGACCACACGTGGAATCTTACGACGCAGTTCTGTCTAAATGTTTCTTAAACGGTCCGGCAAACTTTGCAACTCGCCAAATTGCCGAAATCGGCTGACTTGAGCGGGCGAATTCAGGCACAACCAACAGCGCAGTCAAGGCTACGTCATGGGCGGAGCCAACATTGGGCTAAACGCCATCTACATGGCCCCCTTTTGCTTGTTTTCACTTCTCCGGGCGAGCATAGCGCATGACGTCAGCAACGTTGCCTCTCGGCGCTTAGCAGTGTCCACGTGATTGGCGTAACGCGCCTGCGCAGCGCGTTTCTTGGGAGCCGTTCGGCCGCCCGCCGTGGTCCCGCCGTAGTCCCGCCGTCTTCCGCGTCACTACCACCGCGGTCGTCTCACCGATTGTGATTAGTGTCTCTCGGAATTTCGTCCACACTACGGACACCACGTGCGCGCACACTTATGCCGCAGTTGTGCAGACGTCGTCGAACGCCGTAGACACCAAAACGTGGCGAAGAGTGCGGTGCAGACGACACTCGCGCCTGCCACACGCCCGCCCCAATCCCGCCCGTCGTTGGGCCGAGGATCACGTGACATCTCGTACCACGTGATGGCCATGTACTTGGCGACCCGAGGCCAATGTTGCCGGGCGGAGCCAAAGTTTCGGTTTCGATTTCCGCTCATGTTTAAAATCATATTTAAAAATACCGTATTTACTCGCGTATAGGTCGACCTGTTTTTCAAAAATCGCCTCATCAAAACTGGGGGGTCGACCAATACGCGAATCCCGGTATTATATTTTTCAACTTTTTTTTTTTTTTCGGGGGTCCCGAAGTTAGGGGGTCGACCTATACGACGTATCGACCAATATGCGAGTAAATACGGTAGATATCCCATTTTTTGCGAAGCAAACGACGTAGTGTGTTTTACTAGGGCTTTTTAATTCGAAATCAATCATTATCCCGAAATCTTCGAAATTGAGCGGAGTTGCCCTTTAAAGGGCCCATGAAACGGATTTTGGGTTGAGATAAATCATTTTCTATTGGGATATTACTAATAGCACATCGTTCAGTGGGCCAAAAGAAAAAATGTAGAAAGACAAAAGCCTGACTTTCAGTGCGCAAATTTGAAAACACAGCGGACTATTTCGTACCTCCTCCCCTTCGTAAGCTCTCTGCCTTTTCACTGTGATACATCCGCGGTCCCAAAAGCGCATCATCGGATCCAAACTGACGTCACACAAAACCGGACCTCACTTAGTCCCTTCACCCCTAAGCTGACATTGTGGTGGAAGCTACGCGCTTGCCGAACCAATCAGCCGCCTCCCTTTATCACCTGACCTAAATCTCTGTGCGGTGGTATGCGTGGAGGAGCTAGATCATGTGGCAAGTGTGGCTGGCCCAACGAGCACGTAGCTTCCACAGCACTGTCAGCTCCGGGTGAACGGGTTGGGGAAAGCAACTTTTGTCTGAATTTTGAGCGACGGGCTAATCTTCTAGGGGGACAATGGCTCTGTCCGGGGTACATAAACAAGATTCCGAGCAAGAGGGGCCTCCCCTCTTTTCGTCTTCTTGAACTGTTTCGTGGAATGCGCGATTTATGAGTTGAGGAGGAAAGCAAAACAGGAAAAAGTTGGAAAAGCGTTTCATGGCCCCTTTAAAAGAAGGCAATTTAACTTTAGCGTTGCCGTAATCAAAATTTCTGGTGAGGCGGAGAACAGTTCTTCGTCACTCCCAGGGAGCCGATGTCGTGTTCAGGTTTGTTGTGTCAACTAGTGCACTATACTATCAACTTGCCTGGTTGGGGCACTACGGACTCCGACACGATGCCTGAATGAACATCAACTTGAGAAGCAATGCCTGCACCTGTAAAGGAAAACAATATATATTCTGCCGTGAATACTCATGCAGTACCTTAAAAGAAGGCAACTCAAGTCTAGCATTGACGTTATAAAAAATTTTAATAAGGCGAGGAGCAGTTCTTCGCCACTCCAAGAGAGCCGATGCCGTGTTCACGTTTACTGTGCCAAGCAGTGCACTATTCTTTCAACTTGCCTGGTTGGGGCACTGTGGACTGCGACACAATGCCTGAAGCAACACCGACTGGAGAAGCAAGGTCTGCAGCTGTAAAGGAGAAAAATATTGTGTCGTGAATACTCATGCAGTCCTTTAAAAGAAGGCAATTCAACTTTAGAGCTGCACTTGCAACTTACATTGTTCCTCTGTGGCAGGATGACAATTTGGGCCGAGTAGAAGAGATGGAACTGCATTGGGTTTCAGTTTACGTCTGCCATTGACTCGATAAGTCTCAAACTCCTTCGATTCAAAGTGATCCTGAAATAACACAAGTCATAGGTGCATAGGTACATTAGTTGCTCCTTCACATGCATCAGTTCGGTTAAAATGCAATGCACGCTCCTAATTATGTCAATTAATTTCGTGACCCCCTACCGTAGACAGGATAACACAGTAATTCTGTCAGCAGTTTTTTATTTTACTTGAGTTTCTGCATTTATGTATGCTACAGAACGATATATTGTTCCCTGCCCTAGTGAGCTGTTTCGCTGTGCTTCATAGTTCAAGCAAGTATGCATGCACTCTTCATTTCAAATAGAGAGCATCATATTCGCCCCCAGTCCACGCACGCTTTCATCTTTCTACTGCATAATGCAACAGTAAAAGATGAGGTTCTTGCTAAATTCACCATCTAACGCGGAGGGACAAGTCGCAACACTTCGATGGCTGTCTAAACAGGTGGTGGATTTGGAGTCGTTTTGGAGCGCCGACCCATCGCTTTACGGACGAGAGCTCGCCGACTCGCCAAGCTGGCATGCTTGCTCGCGCCTTGCGTGCCCACAAATATAGAAATGATTATAGAAATAATCTTTGTGACTACGCAAGCGCGAGCAAGCATCCCAGCAAGGAGCACCACACGCGCGAATGCGCCAGTACGTCACTTTAAAAACCGAACGCCACGCACGGGCGTCCTCGGGGGGGAAATATGCTTTCCACCGAAATCAAAAGAAAATTCAGACCTACCTCGCAAATTCTTGCATTCTTGGGAGTTGGCGATCTCCTTCCCATACGAAAAAGCCAGACGAGACGGCGTCTCACATCGTGTCTCGCCGTCGGAATCCGGTACAAGCTCTTGCCGCTGTCCGCCCGATTTGTACACTTCGTAACACTACAGCCTGTCATTTCCACGGGGCTCTTTCTACGCGCATGCAAAATTCATTGCGGTAAACGACGCAGCGGCTGACGAAAACGTCGTCCCCTCGATTTCAGACGACAGCTCGCCGACTCACCAAGATGGCCGGATGCGCCGGTCGCGTATCGCCCGTATCGCGTATCACTCCGCGAGAGCCGCAGACGCGAGCTACGCGATCGTCACCCGTGTCGTCTGCTTCACATACCTTGGAAACGAATGCCCTAAAACATCGCTCGCGTTATAAAAAAAAAAAAAAACAGGATTTTATTGTACCCAGTTGACGCACGTAATGTTCAACGACTTAGGAAGCTTTCCGTTCGTTCGATTTTATTCAAGGATCTATGTTTAGCGAACTCAAAGCGGAAAATTTGTTACCCCGAAACTCGGCGCTCTGGAAGGCCGCTTTCCCGCACGGAGGTCGGATCCAGTTCTGCCCACGTGACCACTCCTCCGCCAATACGGAGACGGCGGCGAAAGGAAAAGGAACGCGATACTCTGGCTCTGCAAGCAGAGCCTATACAGTTACTGTAGTGCAACCGGCCCTTAGTTTTGTTTTGACCGCATGTGGAAGCGGGCGTGTCCGCGAATTTTAGAAAAATTGAAAAAGAGCAATATCGGTGGGTGATTGGATTCTTGTTTTTGGAAGGGAAATCGCGCAGTGAAATCAAAGAGCGGCTGGATGCTGTGTATTGTGACTCTTCTCCTTCGATGGCGACCGTCAAAAATTGGTTTAACGAGTTTCAACGTGGTCGCACGTCGGTTTTTGATGAGTAACGCCCAGGTGCCCCAAAACGGCTACCACAGAGGATGTGACAAAAATCCACGATTCCATATTGGCAGACCACCGATTGAAGATGCGCGAGATAGCTGAGACAGTAGGCATTTCAAAGGACCGCGTGAGTTATATCCCGCATGAAATTTTGGGCATGAGAAAGCTGTCGGCGCGATGAGTGCCGCGTTTGTTCACTCCGGACAACAGGCGCAACCGTGAAACCGCTTCAGAGCAGTGTTTGACGCTGTTTAAGCGCACTCCGAAAGAGTTTCTGCGTCGTTTCGTGACCGTCGATGAAACATGGATTCACTGGTACACACCAGAAACCAAGGAACAGTTTAAACAGTGGATTTCACCCGCAAACGTGCTCCAAAGAAGGCGAAGACTGTCCTATCGGCCAGAAAGGTTATGGCCACCGTTTTCTGTGATTCACATGCTCTGTTCTAAATCGACAGCCTGGAGAAGGACAAAACGGCCACAGGGCAGTACTATGCCGAATTATTGGGCCGATTCGACACCGAATTGCAGAAAACACGGCCCCATTCGCCGAAGAAAAAAGTGCTCTTCCACCATGACAACGCACCGGTCAACGTTACTAAAACACTCAGTTGGGAAACTCGCCGTCGAAACCTGGGCCGCTGGCGTCCACCGAGACCGAGCTAAATGCGACAACAGCGCCACTCTTTTTCGTTTGTCTGTACTATGGTCACCTCGATCTTTTTGAAAGCCTGTTTTTTGCGTAAAAACAAACGAAAAAGACTCTTTTTGTATGAAATTTATTGGAGTTTAGTACCAAATGATGGGCGCGTGATGTTTTTATCATCTTTAGTTCGCAAGGTTTTGCGGAACAATTAATATTGTTTCTATAAAACCATGCCTCAGCGGGCCTTTCAGGTAGCGCGTCCCGACCTAGGTGCATTTTAACTGCAGTTGTTCCACGCGGCGCGTCCGCCAGGGAGACGGGGGTTCACCCCTGACAAAGCCAAAATTAGAAGTCACGTGCAGTTTCTCGAGTGGCCGCTGCGGGAGAAATGGTGGCGTTGTGTTCGTCATTAGCTCGGTGCTCGGAAACAGATTGGGACCATATTTTTAGGGCTGTCTCTATGGGAGTTTCCCAACTGAGTGTTTTAGTAACGTTGGCACCGGTTCACACTTCCGCCCTCGCCACGGCCAAATTGTTTGAATAGGTGACCGGCGTTTGGCAGCAGCCTCAAAGAACTCTGGGTAATATTCACTTCCGGTTCGTAGCTAGCAGCCGACGCAGCCCCATGGCGGCTACGGAAGCGTGTGCGGGTGTTGAAACCCGATCAATCCGGGCCACCCTCCGCTGCTGCTGGGTGACTTACACACTTCTGAACGTCTCAAGTTACTTCTACGGATATGTTAAGTACTAATCGGTACGCAGAAGCATCGAGAACGGCCACGAAAGCGCAGAGCGAGTGCGGCAAGCTGCACTCGCACCGCGCTTTCCGGATCTTCGCATGAAAACTCAGGTTGGTTGTTTCGTTATCCTTTTGAGCCAGCGTTTTTCATTTGGGTTCTGCTTATTTTTGGTGGTTGCGTTAGATCACATCACCGACTGAAATAGGCGCGAATGTAAGCCGTAAGACACGGCCAGCTGAAATGCCCGGTCGGAGGTCTACTTTTCTCACTTTGTTAGAACACCTAAGCCTGGGTAAGAAAATCTTCAGGCAATCAAAAGTTTAAGACGGGGAAATAAGTCGGTCAGACGGCGTTTCAAACTCAGCTAGTATGTTTTCTCGCGCGATTAAAACGCCACTTCCGTGCGAAAGTTAGTTTCGTCAACATCTGACTACGTGACAATCCTTGCTTTTTAACATTCACGCGTTTTTGGTACTTCAACTAAGTTGTCCCCCGTGAACTACAATAACCCTCCGCCCCCCTTCCCCCTTCCCGCACGTTTTTTTTTTTATGATGTCGAGAAAGAAAGCATACACAAACGAGCACCGATTTTGATATGAGCTACGCAGGGTCGTGCTACTGCTTTATTATCCGTCAGTATGAAGGTGCTGGCCATTTGCTTTTGTTTCTTTATATTACAAAAAGCTGACCTGTCCTTTTGTTTATTTATATTAGAGCAAGCCACCCATCCACGGCGCTTCCCGGGAACAGTCTGCGGCGGCTCATCACAGAAAATGTTAATCCGAGCTGTCGATGTAACGATTAAACGGCCTGGCAATGGCACTGTATGTTGACGAAACGTCGTGCCATGAACTGATTGCCTGCGAGATCACACCCCGCGTTCTCGCAGATGCCTTGTACGACAAGCAGTGCTCACCCCTTCGTGGAATAATCGAGGCGCTTTTGGTAGGTGCCAAAAGACTGTTAGAGATCGTTATTTCCCGCGGGCCCTACCCGAAGAAAGAGAGAACACGTTGTACTGGCCTGTAACAATATTGGCCGCGCATAAACGGTCACCGACGTTTGTCTGTCACAGGTCATCTCGCTTTTTCCCTCGCTTAACAGCGACGGCCCATCGTTGCTTCCATGCTTTGTTTCACGGGAACTGGAACATCGTATGCCCTCTATGGCTTGCGTTAGAACAACGTACCGCGGAACTGTAAGCCATTTTCACCGCGAATACAGCACGGCCACCACGCCTAGAAGGGCTCTTGATGCAGCTGGACGAACCGCGACCGGCGCCGGACGAACCGGAAGCGTGAAGTCACGTGGTGCCTCGCTTCGGATGACGAAACTTCCGGCTCAAACGCCGGTCACCTATTGAGCTACGAACTGCTGCCCTATCCACCGTACTCTCCAGATTTGGCCCCGTGCGACTTCTTTTTGTTTCCAAACTTGAAAAAGTCACTCGCCGGGTAGAAATTTTAGTCGAATGAGGAGGTCATCGCCGCCACGGAAGATTACTTTGCAGAACCTCTAGAAAAGTTTTTTTTCAGATGGGATAGAGAAGTTGGATCATCGCTGGGTTAAGTGTATCGAACCAAAAGGAGGCTATACTGAAAACTAAATCGCCACTTTTCCAAAATTTCGTTTTTCTTATGTAGGCTAAGTACTTATCGTACCCAGTACTGCCGGTTGTGAAAGTGGTCGTGACCCAAGACGCGGACCGTAGCCGATGGCACCGTGTGTCCTAGTGTGAACCGATGATCATCTGTCGTCTTGGTCGTTTGGCTCCGCGCATCAGCAACATCGCTATGGCGGTGCTCTCTACTGTGAAAGGGGTTGTGAATGAAGACGCCAACACTCTCATAGCTCATTTTTTGTTTCGCAGGAAGTTGACGTATGCTGTTTGCTTGCGCTATTCTATTTCAGGTTTCTGCGTTTTAGTGAACCATATGTGTGGTTACTGTGCGGTCGATGTACCCGCGGAGGGTCATGAAACTGATCGGAACCATAACTTCGTTCGAGCATTCTATGTATTGTCTTGACAGCCCCTTCCACCTTGTTTGTTGCTGGGCATAAATTGGTTGAGACACGTGTTTGATAGTTCGTCCCTTTATTATTCCTGATCTGGGGACCGTACACCGGCGGGCTTGTGTTTTCACCCTTGCTTCGATGTTGAATCACAAAACTGTTATCTTTTCTTTCTTTTAATTCTCTCCTTTAATCTCTATAATCTTCTTCTCCCCCTAGGCAGAGTAGCCAACCGGGACGAACAAACCAGGTTAATCTCTGTTTTTTTATTCTGAATTTTCTTCCTCATCACCTCAAGTACGTTTTTGGTTGTCTCTCCACTTGCAAACTTCTGGCAGGCAAACTGTGGTGTATTATTGTGCTGTCTTAGGTTTTCCAGCGCCACTGTGGCCACTTGCCCATTCCTTGTAAACAAATTTGTCACCATTTTCTTTTCAACCCTTTTTGGCATTTTGAGCCTCAGGGGTGGAGTTTCTTAAGACAATATCCAAATGGATGGCTGGTGCTTGGTTTCGAGAGCACAATCGGTAGTCCACGTTCTGTCGCTCTTTACAATATCAGATATTTAATCTTAGGGTTGTCACTTTGGAATCGGTATGACATTCCTTGGCACCATTCCACCCTTCCTGGTTTTCAAAATCTGTGGCAAACAAAGATATTAAACTTGTCAGACGAAGGTGCTTGTGAAGAATCGCCGAAACGCTCGGGGAACAAATCTTCGGCGAACCTTCGATATCACCATCAGTCATCTCCACAGCAGCAGCGTTCTTCGGCCACAGCTGTTGAAAGTCTACCAGTGCACTTGTCACTATTGAGAGAGGT